GGTGGGCTCGGGGCTGGTGAGGTCCTTCTTGGCTGTGGCGACCAGGAGCTGGTGTGGACCGGCCCGGTGAAATCCCCTCCAGAAAGGGAAAGGCAGCCCACTCGGAATTATGAACAATTTACTGCCGTAAAGTGTTTGCGATAATTATCTTTTGATTAGAGCTGTCATGTGTAGGATCATCGGCACGAAACCCCGGAGGGCAAATTATCTGCGTTAATGAGACCATCTGAAGACTAACAATTTCTTTAGAATTCGTTTGGCCGTAATTGCGAATGTGAATAACAAAAGGCACAAAAACTCCGTCTGTCCCATAAACAAAAGAAAAAGGTCTTTGGGGCGAAGCCTGCGAGGGGAGGGGGTCCCTGGGCTGGGGAGGAGCTGGCTCTGCCCGAGCGGCTCTTATCCTTCCTGACGTGAAGCCAGTCCTGGTGTGTTCATGGAGGTGGGATTCAATAGTGGTGCACAGGTTTTTAAGAGCGATTGGGTCTAGTTTATACTCCAAGGTGGACATCGCGGCGGTGCGATAGCCTGCCGCGGGTGGCTGCAGCTTCCGCAGCTCCCGCTGTTGGTTTCCGCAGGTGGATCCAGACGGTGCCTTCCTTCTCCCCGCCAACGGCATCCAGGACCTGCACATAGGTGTGAGGTCTCGGCGGGCTGGCAGCAGGTTCATCTACCTTAACTTGGTGGATGTGGAATCCCACCAGCTCGTGTCCTCCTGGCTGCTCTGCCTGTCCTGCAGTCAGCCCCTCATCTCCAAGGTAACGCGGGGGCCTGTGCGCGCTTTTTTTTGGACCAGGGGTCATGGTCTGGCCAATAACCCGGGGCTGTCTCCTGCTTCTTCCTCTCTTTACATCTGTGGGATTTTTTTGGCGCTTGCCGCCCTGAGCACACATTTAGCCCTCGGGTGCTCAAATAATTTCACTGAAGACCGCGGCAAAATATCTTTCGGGCTGTTTTGAAGGCAGTCCCTTGCTGAGGAGTGTCAACTCTGAAGTATCCCTGGTTGTGAAATTAAAGCTACAGCACGCTGCTTTCTATTAGCGCTATGCTGGCAGAGGCCCTGCCTCAGTGATAGAAAATCAGATTTCCCAGCTAATGTGTTCCTTTTAAAAACATTTTCGTGAAATGCTGGGTACTGGGGGAAGTTCACATCGGCATTTAAACTGATGCCCCAGCGTCCTGCCAAGTGCCAGCCCGCCTCTGGTGCCGCGGGGTGTTATCTGAGGAAGTGCCACGGTTTTCCCCGTGGATGTCCGTTAATTAGTTGGAGAATGAGCTGGCCAGTCCCAGCTGCTCCTCTGGCCCTTTGTCGATTGGGCTCGTAATTACTTCGGTGAATGTGCCGGTGCCAGCAGCAGTGCGAGGAGGATGCTGTTGCTCAAAGGTGGTTTCTTTATACCTGCTGGCAGAGATTAAGGTGTAGAAAGAGGGGACGTAAGGCAATGTGCGTGTCGGTGCAGGAGGCAATTCTTGGCAGTCGGTTTGGGGGAGCACCCCTTGTTCCCTCTGCCCGCCCCGCGGTCTGTGCCGCCTCTGCCGTAGCTTGTGTGCTCGACCCGCAGGCGTTCGAGATCTCGCTCCCCGCAGGAGGTGGGAGAGGCTGCAACAAGCGCATCACCTACACCAACCCCTACCCCTCGCCCCGGCTCTACTTCTTGGGTACCAACCGGCCCGACCTCCTACAGTTCAAAGAAGACTCCTTCGAGGTACGTCCTCCTGCCGCCGGTCCCCCCTTTGCCAGACCCCCGCCCTCGTCCAGCTGGACCACGCGGTGCATGGCACGATGCTCGGCAGATGCGTGGCACGATGCTCGGCAGATGTGTGGTATGCTGCCGTGGGAGGGCCATGCTAACCCAGGGAGGGTGAGCAGGTCGAGGGATCCTTGCCGGGTCCTGCCGCTTCTCCTCCCGCCCGTTCTCCCGCAGGTCGCCGGCCGTTGCTCCCGCAGGTCGCCGGCGGGGAGGTGTACACCATCGGCTTGCGCTTCGCCCCGAGCCAGAGCGCGGGTGAGGAGGAGATCTTGATTCATATCAACGACCACGAGGACAAGAATGAGGAAACCTTCTGTGTGAAGGTCCTCTACCAGTGAGGCTGCCCACCGGCTGCGGCAAAGTGGCTAGTCTCTGTGTCGACCACCGCAGCTCTCCCGGCAGTGCCACCTCAGGGATGCCCATGTCTCTCCAACGGTGGGTTGTGAGCCCGGTCCCCTCTTAGTCACCTCACCAAACCAGGAGGTCTTGCTGTCCGCCAGGATCACCGGGCATTACCGTGAGCGCCGGTGGTGCCACGCGGCTCTATCCGCACAAGTTGGGGAGAGCGAATGTATTTGTTACCACGCGTCACGACCACAGGACTTTTTTATTTTTGTGAAGCGTTGCTATATTTTAGGCATGTTGGAATCTTTTTTTAACTTAAAAAGTTTGCAGATCTGATTCTTTGGGATATTTTTAAAGCATTTTATATTCTACAGCGAGTTTTGTACACACTGAAGCAGTTTGCTGGGATTTTTGATACTTTCTACTCATCCTTGATCAATTAAACTTGCTGCACAGAACTGGCAAGAGCGTAGCAGCATTTTCTTCTGTGAGAGGTGGAAAACCTCGGAATCCCTGTCCTGCGGAGGTGAGTGCTGGGCTCGCCCTGCCCACGGCTGCGGTGCCATCAGTCCCATGATGGCAAGCGCTGGGGGTCCCCTATGTCACCCCCAATTCTGTGGAGCATCTTGTGGAGGGGAATGACAGTAAAATAAGGCGTGGGCTGACACCTCTGGGACTGAGGGATATCGGCTCCATCCCGGTGCGTTATAATCTTGCTTGTTGGGTACTAAAAAGCTCCCCCCTGTTCCTCACCAGTTTGTAGCATGTTTATTGCTCTTTGCTTATGCTGGGATGCATTAGGTTCACTGTGTAGATCGGGAAAAACCTAAAGAGTGAGAGAAAAAAGGCAGCCGAGGCAGGCAAAGCGGGGGGAATCTCCCGTGGGGGTGGCTGGGGGGGGTCTCTGCCCCTCGCCGTGCCCCTCTGCCACCATGGCCGGGCGCCCAGGAGACTTGTGCCCCCGTGAGCGCTGCGTCGCTTCTCTTTACGGGTCCGAGGCTGGTGAATTAATAGCCCCGATGAAGTCGTGTGCCGAGTTCCTCTGCCTCCCTAGGACTGATCGGAAATGACAGCTAATATTTTAAAAATTATTATACTGTCTGCAGCACAGAGAGGCCCCAAAGTCGGGTTATTAAAGTAGATTAGCTGAATAATTTTCATTACGTTTTCATACAGCGATATTTCTTGAGGCTTATGAATGAGCTGGTGCTGTACCCTCGGCTGCGGCGGAGGAGTCAGCTCAAGTGCCAGGCGTTCACAGCCGCCGGTAAATGATGTACCGGCGGGCCGGGGGGGCCGCAGG